GTTGTTCTATTCCCCCCTTCATTCCCCTCCACCCTACCCCCCATCCCCACCATTACCCCCACTTTAGTTTATGACCATGTGTCTCAATTCCTTTAGATTCTATATTTCCCATGCTATTCTTGCCCCCCCCATCTATTTTCTATCTACTGTCTATGCTACTTATTTTCTGTACCTTCTCCCCCCTTCTCCTCCTCCCACTCCCCTGTTGCTAACCCTCCTTGAGATCTTCATTTCTATGTTTCCACTCCTGATCTAGCTGTCCTTTTAGTTTGCTTTTGGTTTAGGTGTGGTTGTTAATAACTGTGAGTTTGTTGTCCTCTCACTGTTCATGTTTCTTTAACTTCTTTTTCTTAGATAAGTCCCTTTAACATTTCATATAATAAGGGCTTGGTGATGATGAACTCTTTGAATTTGATCTTATCTGAGAAGCACCTTATCTGTCCTTCCATTCTAAATGTCATAACCCAGCGACTCTGAGTGGCCCGGCCCAGGTGAACCACCTAAGAAGCTAATCCTCACCTAGCTGTGAGAAACAGCAGAGGGGGTCGCCATTTCCCTGCTCTGACCACGCCCCCACATACAGCGTCACAACCCAGCAACCTGGGAGTCCAAGGCACCGCTTCTCACACTTAAAGGACCAGAACAGACCAAAAATGTCGCAAGAAGATCTCAAAGCCCCAGAGACCATAGATCTAAGGGATAAAGAAATAGCAAAACTCTCAGGTGCACAGTTTAAAACACTGGTCATCAGGATCCCTGTGCTTTCTTTAGCCTAGTACCCCTCTGCCTCCCTTATTGGTAAGAGGATTGGAAATGAGGCTTTCTGTCTGTTATTAAGGAATTAGTCTGTTTCATCTCTTGTCTAGTATGTGGGCATAAAGTTGTATATGATATATCATTTTTATCCTTTAAATATCTATAAAATCTGTATTGATGTTGCCTGTTAGATTCCTGCTATTTGTAACTTTTGTCTTTTTTTTCCCCTTGTCTGGCAAGAGGTTTATTGATTTTTTTGGGGGGGGGTTCTTTTTTTGATTTGTTTTAAAATTGATTTTAATTTAACATAGTTTTATTTCTGCATAGTGCCTTTTATATGTTATGTAAGAAGTAAATGAGATCAGGTAAGAATATTGCTGATACCCATAACTTATGGATGTAGAAGGTGTCTTTCTTTGGTCTCAGATTGTACCTTTTTCTCTTCTTCCTTTTCTTTCCTTTTCTTTGCATTTTTTATTGTTATTTAAGTACAATTGTCTTCATTTTCCCCCCCACCCCACTCACTCCTACCTCTCACCCTCGATCCTTTTCCCTTTGGCTTTGTCCATGGGTCCTTTATACATGTTCCTTGATGACCCTTCCCCCTTCTTTTCACCATTATCCCCCTCCCACCTGCCACCTCCTACCTCCTGTCTGGTTACTGTCAGTTTACTCTTTATTTCAACATCTCTGGTTATATTTTGCTTGTTTGTTTTGTTGATTAGGTTCCACTTATAGCTGAGATCATGTAGTATTTGTCTTTCACTGCCTGGTATATTTCACTTAGCATAATACTCTCCAGTTCCATCCATGCTGTTGCAAGGGGTTAGAGCTCCTTTCTTTGTGCTGTGTAGTATTCCACTGTGTAAATGTACCATAGATTTTTAATCCACTCATTTACTGATGGGCACTTAGGTTGCTTCCAGCACTTTTCACCTTTTTATTTTTCTTTTTGTTTTTCTGTTTACAATTTCACTGTTGTTCTTGTTTTTATTATTCCCCTACTCTGCTTGTTCTTGGTTTACTTTGCTTTTATTTTTTTAGTTCCTTTGAGTGGAAACTCAGATTATTGACTTCACAGCTTCCTTCTTTCTTTTCCGGCCTCCCTCATATTTTTATTGTAATATAATAAGTAAACATATAAAAATAGTAAATTTCAAGATTTAAAAAAAAAAAGGTTTTACAGTCCCAGTGAGAATTTAACTTCAAAGAACAGTCTATATCCAACTGATTTAAATTAGAATCTCCAGTCTTATCTAAGCACCCCACTAAACCAGATTTTTAAAACATTTTCAAGTACTTGAAATACAAAATGTGCACAATGTAACAAAAGAAACATTAACACTCTTAGTTTGATTCTCTTAAGCTGCTCCACACAAAATTCTAAATTTTCCTGAGCTGATAGATAATTACTTACCCAGTAAAAAGCTAGGTGAAGATTACTGTACTTTGCCATGTATTTTGCATACCTGTGGTTTTGGCCCAAACTTTCAGTAAAAAAAATCTTTTGTTTTAATTTTTTAACTCAATTATTTATTTATTTATATTTAGCAACAAAACAGATTATTGTATTCCAGGGTATTGTTTTGTATACAGATATCATTGTTGCTTTCTAGAGTTATATCTGTAATGCATAAGCATAAATAAAAGAATTAAAACCATTTATATAGATAAGGAATTACTGCTATTCATATATAACACACATGCTTATTTTTCCCTCAAAATTTTGGGCAGAAAGTATGCATTATATATGATAAAATATGATGGCTTCCCAAGTAATATGGTGGTGGTGGTGGTGGTAGTGGGGTGGGGAGAGTGAGGACCATACCTTTTCTTTTAATTTTAATATATTTTATTGATTATAATATTACAGTTGTCCCATTTTTTCTCCCCCTTTTCCCCTTTGCCCTGTACTCCCCCTCCCACCATCATTCCCCCAACTTAGTTCATGTCTATGGGTTATATAAGTTCTTTGGCTTTCCCATTATCCATATAATTCTTAACCACCCCCTGTCTGTTTTGTACCTACAATTTATGCTTCTTATTCCTTGTACATTTTCTCCCATTCTCCTCCCTTCTGCTCCCTACTGGTAACCCTCTATGTGATCTCTATTTCTGTGAATCTGTTCCTGTTCTAGTTGTTTGCTTAGTTCATTTTTTTTGTTGTTTTTTTAGGTTCAGTTGTTGATAGTTGTGAGTTCGCTGTCATTTTACTGTTCATATTTTTTATCTTCTTTGTTTTAGATAAGTCCTTTTAACATTTCGCATAATAAGGGCTTGGTGGTGGTGAACTCTAACTTGGCCTTATCTGGGAAGCAGTTTATCTTCCCTTTCATTCTAAAGGAAAGCTTAGCTGGATAAAGTAATCTTGGGTATAGGTTCTTGCTTTTAATGACTTTGAGTACTTCTTTCCAGCCCCTTCTTCCCTGCAAGTTTCCTTTGGAAATGTCATCTGATATAGCCTATGGGAACTCCTTTGTAGGTAACTATCTCCTTTTTTCTTGCTGCTTTTAAGATTCTCTCCTTATCTTTAATCTTGGGTAATGAAATTATGATGTACCTTGGTATGTGCTTCCTTGGGTCCAATTTCTTTGGGACTCTCTGATCTTCCTGGACCTCCTGGAAGTCTTATTTCCTTTGCCAGATTGGACTCTCTGATCTTCCTGGAAGTCTTACTTCCTTTGCCAGGAGAACCTTGGAGAGGTTCTCCTGCATTATGTTTTCAAATAAGTTTTCAATTACATGTTCTTTCTCTTCCCCTTCTGGTACCCCTAGGATTCAGATGTTGGAATGTTTAAAGTTGTCCTGGAGGTTCTTAAGCCTCTCATCATTTTTTTTTTTTGAATTCTTGTATCTTCATTCTGTTCTGGTTGAACATTTATTTCTTCCTTCTGGTCCACACTGTTGATCTGAGTCCTAGTTTCCTTCCCTTCACTTTTGGTTCCCTGTACATTTTCCTTTATTTCACTTTTTATAGCCTTCCCTTTTTCCTCTATTTTGCAAGCATACTTAACCATTTCTGTGAGCATCCTGATTATCATGTTTTGAACTGTGCATCTGATAGTTTGGCTATGTCTTCATCACTCAGTTGTGTTTTTTTCTGGGGCTTTGATCTGTTCTTTTATTTGGGCCATATTTCTTTGTCTTGGTGCACCTGTTATGTAGTAAGGAGCAGAGTTTTAGGTATTTTCCAGGTCAGGGCAACACACATCAATGACTTATGACACTGTATGTGGGGGAGGGGTCTGAGAGAGACGATGTCAATTGCTTGGCTCTGGGCTGGCTTTCTGTCACTTCCTCTGCTACCCACAAGCAAATTGGACCCTTGTGGTGCTAATTTGCAGGTTGGTGATTTTGTGTACATTTTAGGGCCCTGTGGGTCTCTCCAGTGAACCCCTGAGAGGCTGGAAGTTTCTCCTGCTCCCTCAACATCCACAGGTTTTTTCAGTCAGAGGTTTTATGGCTTTATTTCCCCTTGCTGGAACCCTGGTTTGCACAGTCTGTCTTGCTCCCCAGTTGTTCCTCCTGGTTTATCCACACACAAATGTGGAAACACCCACTCTGCCAGCCCCAGTCCTCCAGCCACTGCCTTGCTATGAGTCCTCTCTCCTCCTGCTGCCCATCTCTGCCCCTCCTTCTGGACTGGATGAATATTTCTTTAACTCCTTGGTTGTCAGACTTCCATACAGTTTGATTTTCTGGCAGATATGGTTATTTTTTTGTTTTAAAATTTGTTGTTGTTTTTTTGTTTCTGGGGGGAGGCCAAGTGTATCTACCTATGCCTCCATCTTGACCAGAAGTCCCTGTTCATTTCTAATATAAGGACTTAATACTATGAATTTCCCTCTAAACACTGCCTTAGGTGAGTATCTCAGTTTTGCTATATTTCATTTTCATTTTGTTCACTTTAAAGTGTTTTATAATTTGCCTTGTGACTTCTTTTTGCTATAAAAGCCATTTGGAAGTGTGTTGTTTAATTCCCAGATATTTGGTTTAGTTACCTTTTTGAACTCTATGAAGTTCTAATACATTGGAAACTTTTTGATGAAAAGGCATTTGAATTTATAAATGATAACATTGCATATTTTCACGGTAAAGTGAAACACTGTCATGTTATTTACATTGTATGAACTTCAAAAACATCATCCTCAGCTATTTTATTATGCTTAGTAATATTTTTAAATTGGATTTGAAGGCAAATATTGGGACCCTTCTGAGTTATGTCTTGTTTTTGTTCTTTTTAGTGCATTATTATTGGGTGAAACTGGATTCTGAAAAATTCATGAAAGATGCTAAACACTTAAACTGCTTCAAGAATTCGGAACTAAATTGTGAAAAGGAAGACAGAAAGAAGAAATCAGGAACCTGAAGAGCCCTGCAAAAAACACCAAAGGAACGTTACCATTTTCTGTTGTTGCTGTGGTCTGATGGAGGAAGTGGGTGCTGCCAGTGCAGAGAACGAGCCCTGTGCTCATGGCAGCAGGCCATACACCTGTGTCTCACCCACAAGAAGACTTTGTTGGATCCTGTATTGTCTTTGCTTACTTTTGGAACAGGCTGGCCCAATATCATTTGTCATCATGTTCTTTTTTCACACTGTGGTTTATTTCTGTGTGTCCATTATGGATGGGTTTCAAATACATTCATGCTATCCATGTTCTTCCCAACATTGAGCAAGCCAGTGCCCATGTAAAGAGAACAATCACCAATGATAATGTATTATGTGTGGCTTTTGCATCTTGTAAATTTTCCCTTTTTTCTAAAAAAATAATAAAACTCCAAACCTTACCAGGTTATTATTTTTTTTCCCAAATAACCCTCTTATGAGAGGCATTCCCTTAGTGGCCCACATAGGCTTCTGATTCCCAAGTGAGAGACTGTATGATAATTTGTAGTTAATTACATTTTACTTGGACATGAGGTGGCAGGAAAGGGGAGTGTGGATGGGAAGGAAATCCAGTTATAGAATGGCCAAATGACTGAGATCAAGTATGACTGCCATATCTGATTTATCCACCTTTGAGAGGTAGGGGTAAGGCTTAGCATGTTAGGCCATACAGATGCCCCTTTAACTGGAACTGCATGTTTCTCCTTATATCCAGGCTGGTATAGCTCCAGTAATATGAAGAAAAAACCATACTTTGCCAAAGAGTTTCTCAGTTCATCTTGAACTTGGAGTTCAATAGCTATAGTTATCATTTTTAGACATTATATGATATTAACAGTAATATATTTTTATATAACATTTATAATATATTAAGTGATTGTATTAAACAGAGTTTAATACTCTTTTGAAATACTCCTTGCTTACCAATAGAAGAGACATCCTTATTTGGCATTTTTTTATAATGCTAAAACTATCTGTGACCTTTATAATAACTCTTGAGTCCCTCTAGTCTGACCCAATTGTCTACTTCAAATAAAAACATAGAAAATATGTGAAAAAAACAAAAAGCTCAAATCACATCTTCAATGTACAATTAAGTAGTTGGAATATGGAGTTGAAAAGGGGTTTGCCAGATTGCTATACGCTGAATTGATACAGATGGCCCAGTATAATGCATGATAGTTTAAATCTGGATTTGAAATCATTGCATCCCAGATGCAAACCCCTGGTCAGCTCCTCCACCTCTGTGGACAACAAAGTACAAGAAGCTCTTCTGTTTGAGTTACCTAAGTAGGCTTTTACAGAGTGAATTCAAATTCACTTTGAAGTTACTTGAACCTACAGTTTGGTAAACTAGTTGTGAGGTTGCAGACTTGCTGAATAGATTTGTCGTACATTTCCTTGGCACAACATTTTATCAGCACCAGTTATTAAACATCTGCACCCTGTCCTTGTGGTAATGGATAATGAGGATAGCACAGAGAGAAGAGCTAATATGCTTGATGTTTGGATGGTAATATTATGATAGACTCCCTTATAACCCACAGTATAGTTCCTGGATGACATTTCTTTCTTATTTTTATTTTATTTTATTTTAATCGTTCATGTACAGTTTTCTGTCTTTTACTCTCAGCTCACCCTCACAACCCTCCCCCCTCCCTCTCATGTCCACCCGCCCTAGTTTTTGTCCATATGTCCTTTATACTTGCTCCTGTAAACCCTTCTCCCATTCCCCTGATATTCCCTCCCCCCCTCCCCTCTTCTCTCTGGTCACTGTCAGCCTGTTCTGTATTTCAGTGTCTTTGGTTGTATTTTGCTTTCTTGTTTGTTTTGTTGATTAAGTTGCTGTTATAAGTGAGATCATATGGTATTTGAATTTTACCACCTGGCTTATTTTGCTTAGCATAATGCTTTCCAATTGCATTCGTGATGTTGCCAAAGGTAGGAGCTCCTTCTTTCTGCTGCATAGAATTCTATTTTGTAAATGTACCATAGTTTTGGATCCATTCATTTACTGATAAGCACCTAGGTCTCTTCCAGCACTTGGCTATTGTAAATAGTGTTGCTATGAACATTGGGGTGCATAGGTTCTTTTGGATTGGTATTTCAGGGTTTTTAGGATATAATCCTAGCAGTGGAATTGCTGGGTCAGAACCATTTTTAGTTTTCTTATAAATTCCATACTGTTTTCCATAGTGGTTGTACCAGTCTGCAATCCCACCAACAATACACTAGGGTTCCCTTTTCTCCACAACCTCTCCAACATTTGTTGTTTATTGCTTTTTTTATGATAGCCATTCTGACCAGTGTGAAGTGGTATTTCATTGTGGTTTTAATTTGCATCTCTCTGATAGCTAGCGATATTGAACATCTTTTCATGTGACTCTGGATCCTCTGTATGTCCTCCTTGGAGAAGTTTCTGTTCAAGTCCTTTGCCCACTTTTTAATTGGGTTGCTTGTCTTCTTACAGTGGAGTTGTTTTAAGTTCTTTGTATATTTTGGAGATCAAACCCTTGTCTGAGGTATCATTGGCAAATATGTTTTCCCATATAGTTGGTTCTTTTTTATTTTAATATTGTTTTCTTTAGCTATGCAGAAGCTTTCTATTTTGATGAGGTCCCATTTGTTTATTCTTTTCTTTATGTCCCTCGCTCTAGGGTACATATCAATAAAATAGTTGCTGCATGAAATATCTGAGATTGTCCTGCCTATGTTCTCCTCTAGGACTTGAATGGTGTCACAGCTGATATTTAAATCTTTTATTCACCTTCAATTTATTTTTGTGTATGGTGTAAGTTGGTACTCGACTTTCATTTTTTTTCACATAGCTGTCCAGTTCTCCCAACACTATTTGTTGAAGAGGCTATTTTTACTCTATTTTATGTTGCTGCCCCCTTTGCAGAATATTAATTGACCATAGAGACTTGGGTTTATTTCTGGGCTCTCTGTTCTGTTCTACTGCTCCATGTGCCTGTTTTTATGCCAGTACCAGGCTGTTTTGATTACGATGGCCTTGTAATACAATTTGGCATCAAGTATCGTGACCTCTCCTACTTTGCTCTTCTTTCCCAAAATTGCAGCTGCTATTCAGGGTCATTTATGGTTCCATATAAGTTTTTGAAGTGTTTTTTCTATGTCCATGAAATACGCCATTGGTACTTTAATAGGGATTGCATTGAATTTGTAAATTGATATGGATAGTATGAACATTTTGATGATGTTAATTCTTCTGACCCATGAATTAGGTATATGTTACCATTTGTTTGTGTTTTCCTTGATTTCTTTCTTCAGTGTTGTGTAGTGTTCTGCATACATGTCTTTTACCTCCTTAATTAGGTTTATTCCTAGGTATTTTTCTTTTTGCTCTATCGAATGGGATTTTATTCTTGATTTCTGCTTCTGCTCTTTTATTGTTGTTATACAGAAATGCCTTTGATTTCTGGATATTGACTTTGTATCCCACTGTTTTGCCAAATTCATATATTAGGTTGGGGAGTTTTTTGGCCGAGTCTGTAGGGTTTTCTATGTACACTATCATGTCATCTGCAAACAGTGACAGTTTTGTTTCCTCCTCTTTGATTTGGATTTCTTTTATTTCCTTTTCTTGTCTAATCGCTGTGGTTAAGTCTTCCAATACTATATTGAATAGAAGTGGTGAAAGTGGACAACCTTGTCTTGTTCCTGATCTTAGTGGAAAAGCTTTTAGTTTTTGGCCATTGAGTATGATGTTGCCTGTAGGTCTTTCATATATGGCCTTTATTAAGTTGAAGAGTGATCCCTCTTTTCCCACTTTGCTGAGTGTTTTTATCATAAATGGGTGCTGTACCTTATCAAATGCATTTTCTGAATCTACTGATATGATTATGTGATTTTTGTCTTTGCTTTTGTTTACATGATGTACTACATTTATTGATTTGTGAATGTTGTACCATCCTTGCATTCCCAGGATGAATCCCACCTGATCATGGTGTATGATCTTTTTAATGTATCAGTGGATGCAGTTTACCAATATTTTGTTGAGGATTTTAGCATTTATGTTCATCAGCAATATTGGCCTGAACTTGTCCTTCTCTGTTGTGCCTTTATCTGGTTTTGGGTTTAGGATGATCCTGGCTTCATAAAAAGAGTTTGGGTGTCTTCTATCATTTTGGATTTTTTATAAATGTCTGTGAAGGATAGGAGTTAGCTCTTTCTTAAATGCTTTGTAGAATTCTCCTGTGAAACCATCTGGTTCATGGTTTGTGTGTCGGGAGTTTTTTGATTAATGCTTCAATTTCCTCCGCTGTTATTGGTCTATTCGGGCTTTCTGTTGCTTCTTCATTGAGGTTTGGAAGATTATATGTTTTTAGAAATTTGTCCATTTCACCTAAGCTTTCAAATTTCTTGACATACAGTTCTTCACAGTAATTTCTTACAATGGTTTGTATTTCTGTGGTGTCAGTTGTAATCTCTGCTCTTTCATTTCCGATTGTGTTTATTTGGGTCCTCTTTTTTCTTCATTAGCCTGCTTAAAGGCTTGTTGGTTTTGTTTATCTCTTTAAAGAACCCGCTCCTGGATTCATTGAGAATTGTGGTTTTAGTCTCTAGGTCATTTAATTCTGCTCTGGTCTTGGTTATTTCCTTCCTTCTACTTGCTCCGGGATGTCTTTTTTGTTGTTCCTCAAGTTCTTGTAGGTGTAGGGTTAGTTTGTTTGTTTGAAATGTTTCTATCCTTTTTAGATAGGCCTGTATTGCTATGAACTTACCTCTCAGGACCACCTTTGCTGTGTCCCATAGGTTTGGGGTTGTTGTGAGTTCATTTTCATTTGTTTCCAGAAACTTTTTGATTTCTTTCCTAATTTCATTCTTGACCCATTTATTGTTTAAAAGCATGCTATTCAATCTCCATCATTTTGAGTGTTTTGGGTTTTTTTCCTTGGGGTTGGTTTCTTGTTTCAGTCTCTTGTGGTCAGAGAAAATGCTTGGTATGATTTGAATTTTGTTTAATTTGTTGAGGCTTGTTTTGTGTGCTGTCATGTGTTTGTCTTTGAAAATGTTCCATGTGCATTTGAGAAGAATGTGTATTTAGCTCCTTTGGGGTGAAGGGCTCTATATATATCCATTAAGTCCATTTCATCTATGGCATTGTTCAATGCCACAATATCTTTGTTTATATTTTATTTGGAAGATGTATTCATTTTTGACAGTGGGGTGTTAAAATCCTCTACTATAGTTGTGTTGCTGTCAATATCTTTTTTGAAGTCCTCTAAGATACTCTTTATGTATTTGGGTGCTCCTATGTTGGGTGCATATATATTTACAATGTTTATGTCTTCTTGGTTGATTCTTCCCTTGAGTATTATGAAGTAGTGACCTTCTGGGTCTCTCTTTGTGGCCCTTTTTTTTTTTTTTTAGTCTATTT